TCACTAAAAACAGTATACTCTCCTACTCCTACAGCCTTGTTACTGCCATTGTAGACGGGCCTTTAAACTTTAGTCAAGGGCCACCGCACAGAGAAAATCGTAACGTAACAAAAGCATACTATGTTACGATTTTGTTTGTGCGTTGACTGAAGTTTAAGATTACGTACGAATTTAGGTTTCAGTACTTAACGTAACGTAATGCATTACGGAAGAGCTTGTGCAGTGGCCCTTAGCACCTTAAGACATTACTTAAGGGTCGACAGGAGTGACGGGCAAACTCCGAATTGACATTTATTCGTTTGCTACTAAGCGGTTTTCTTTGCTGAACGCGGCCATTGTGCGATAGGCTTTTCTCTTTGTGCTTCCTGAAATTATGCCGCCAACGCGAACATAATATAACCAATGTTAATACAAAATTGTCAATACCGATGCCAATTGGTGCCGATCGGAAACGCTGACCGAGAGGCGACAAAGTTCATCGTTCATCCGTTCACCGAATACATTTGCTATCGCTTATCAATAGCAGACGTGTATAGTGTATATCCATTTAAGAGTCGATAGAAAACGGTACTGACTAGGTAAAGGTGCTGAGTCAGTCTGAATCGTTTGTCATTTTTGGAGAACGACTTGTCATTTTTAGAAAACAACGGCAATTCTCTTTGACAAGACGAAAATCAGAAGCTGCGGACTGAATAAAAATCCATAAAATGGCTACTAAAGACGTTAAGGATGTTAAGGAGGATACTTCTGCCGCTTCGTCAAGCAAGCTCTTCACGCGGGCGGAAGTGGCAAAGCATACCGATCCCAACGACACATGGATCATCATTCATAATAATATTTACAATGTCACTCCTTTCCTTAATGAGGTTACAGTTTTTTTCCCTCTTGCCAACAATAAACTAGACCTTATTATATAAATTGATTACACTTATCAGAGTCTTCTTAGTATTTTGAATACAGATGTTGATTTGTATCTTTATTAAATTTAACTTGCTGAAAATCTAATATTTAGTTTGGTGAAAATATGTTTGGTATATATTTATTACTTTTATTATAACTAATTTTATATATTTAGATTATTTTTATTAATATATAGCACCCTGGAGGTGAAGAAGTACTCTTGGAACAAGCTGGGTGCGATGCCTCTGAACCTTTTGAAGATATCGGCCACTCAACCGATGCAAGACAAATGATGGAATCGTATAAAATTGGAGAATTAATAGAAGTGAGAATAAATTTAATTCAAGATTAGGAATTATATTCAAGATTATTATTTTTCTTTTCCATTTTTATTATATAATATCTGAATGTATTTTAGGAAGAAAGGAAACAAGATAGTGGAGAAAAAGATAAATATTGGTCTAATGGAGCTAATGACGAGAACAATTCTAGGTATGCTCTCTTACATTTATATATCATGCAAGTTTTGCTCTAGAACTTTATTTTAACACTAATGATTCTAACATTTCAGTTTTTCTAGTTAACCATATTTTCTATAATCAATTTTTACTTTTTCTCTCTTCGTCAAAGGAGCTTTCCCTAAATTTTTTTTTAAACTAAGTAATATATCTATTCTATTTAATTTTCTTTTATTTTAAATATTATACAGATGGTATAAACATAGAAACTTTAAAAAAAATCAAATATTTCTTTTATAATATAAATACTATTTTATTAAATTTTATCTAAATTTGGAGATTGATAATTTTGCATTTTTTCTTGTTAATAAAATACCAAATTCCAAATTGAATTATGGGATATAAAAATGACATAGCTATAAATCTGACATTTTTTTATTATATTCGAATAATAATGCTATGCATGAAAATAATTTTATCAATGTTAATGCTTCATTTGCAATGCTAATATAGAAGTATATGCTTTGTTTCCTATAATTACTTGTAAAATATTTTTTTCTTATTTTCCAAAAATTTAATTTTTTATTATTTATGAAAGAACTTACTCTTATTTGACGATTTTCACATGTGTATACAAATAATTAATGCCGAATGTTCATACCATCCAAATTTATAAAGACAGAAAGCTTTTTTTTTTTTAAGTATTGTCATGTATAAATAGTCGATGCTGCATCGTGATGTGATGATTGGCAATTGCAGTTCTTGGCGGTCCTGGTTGATCCCGATCGCTCTTGGGGTGCTCGCTACCCTCGTCTATCGCTATTTTATCAGCACACATTAAGGCGTTCCGATCCGGGTCCCTTTCTTCACGTTATTCACTTGTTAATACATATATATATATCGATCAATATCAATCGCTATATGATCAAGTGTTGTACATTTTATCCGAATGTATGTCGCGCACTTTTCATAATTATTTTCTATGAACCAAATAGCATTTTGCTGGCCTAGCGGTTGAAACTGAGAGAGAATAAGAGATCGGCCAACGATGTATTATATTATAATATACAAATAACGCGCAATACAAATAGCGCGCATTTATATGTTTATATGTATACGTTTGTATACACATACTGGTATATATATATGCAAATATGTAACATGTAGCGTTTGTACGCGACGTTGTTCCTTGCAAATTGACGAAATATATTAATTTAATTCCTTAGAAAGAAAGGCCGCCTAAAAAAAAAGAAGTAAACCCATCCATCTTTAAATCCTTGAGCAGTAAAATGATACAAGCGCATACAAGAGGACAAAAATTATTTGTGAAAATGATTCGATTATTTATCAAACCGTATACGAAGTATTCAGAACTGCTCTGATCATATTTGTACATCTTGCAACAGATTTTAATCGAGACTGCTGCATCGATCGCCAATAAAACAAACACAAATGGCAACATTTGAAAAATAATTCTTTTATATAACAAGTATATATACGATGAATTATATATATAATCACATTTATTTATTTTTCTATCAATTTATGTACCAATAAAACGTGTTGGATCACGAATTACACCATTCAAAAAAAAAAAAAAAAAAAGGGAACACTTTTCATACCCTAAAAATTGAGCTATTTTCAAACCGCTGAAATTCGATGAAAAATTATCATAGACAAAAAATTAAAAAAGCATTTTGAAGCTTAAAGTTTTAACTTTAACACCCTATCGGTGGTTAAAATTTTTTTTTTATCTTCCTTGTTCTATGCTTTAAAAAAGAATCTATTGTTTTATTATTTATACAATATATATATATATATATATATATATATATATTATTTATAAATATAAATAAATTTATAAATTAAGATTCTTTATTAAAAATTACATACAGGGTGATTCTAAGGATTACTGACAAATTTCAGGAGTGTATAGAGAGATTGGAATATAGCAACTTTCGACTAGGAACCCATGTTCTCCAAAGTAATTCTGAGTCGGTACAAGCTTCTTGATTACTTCTTTTGGGGGCATATCAAAAGCCTCGTTTATGAGATACCGGTGGACGATCCAGAAACACTTGTAGCCAGAATACTTACAGCATCTGATATGGTCCAGAATATGCTTGGGATATTTGAGAAAGTGCGCCAGAGTTTTATTCGACGATGCAATGCCTGCATTGTGATGACCGTTTTCGCACACCTTTTGTAATACTGTACAGTATTATTGTGTTCATATAAACTTTGCTTAATTATTAAATTTTGTACAAGTTAAGATTATTTCTCTTATTAGTATGTTGTATAATGTACTTCCTTACATTCAAAGACTTGTACCGACTCAGGATTACTTCGGAGAACGTGGATTATGGGTTCTTAGTCGAAAGTTGCTATATTCCTACTCTATATGCTCCTGAAGTTTGTCAATAATCTTTAGAATCACCCTGTACAAGCGTTTATTTGAACTCGAACATGTATAGGAATCCAACGAAACGCGCAGCAGAATGAAAATTAAGCGATTGGGATACTACAAGACATGTGTCATCGACATCTCGTCATAAATGAGTGCCGGTCGAGTCATCCTGCTCCTGCATGCAGGAGGCGCGTGATAACCGATGGAGGCTTCATATTAGAGTAAGGATTCGCGGTGGCGTCGCCCCGTCGTCGATATCGAGCGAGCTCTCCGACGCGCGCGACGCGTCGCGCTGATTCTCCTCCCCGCGTTCTCCTCGCTTCGCCCACCATTCCCGTGGCTCTAGTAGAAGAGACCTCACCTCCGACGAATGCCCAGTAAAGCGCGTGAGCTCGGTGAAGGTGTGTCATGGAGAGTAATACTTCGACAGAGACGCCAGCGATAATCTATTAAAAAAAAAAAGGGAAGGATTGAGAGAAAGATCCTTAGAGATCCATTCGGCGAATAAATAGAATCAGCATCGCGCGAGAGCGAACGCTATTGAGAAATCAGGATAAAACGCGATAAAGAAGAAACGACGCGTTGAGAGAAGGGAGACAGCAAGGACCGGTCCCGGAAGGGCAGAGGTCGACGAGGGGTGGAAAGATAAGGAGTGCGAATAAAGGACGAAGACGACGAAGCGTGGAAGGATAGCAGCTGCGTAAGGTGCGAACGGCGGTGGTTGTATTGAAAAGTAGCGGCGTGGTGTCATGAGAGGCGGTCTCACGGTCCGCCCTTCTTATCGGTCCCTCCAAGAGTCATGCATGTCGCGCCCCTCAAACGAGGTAAGTGCGTATTAATCGTCGGAGTCAATCCTCTGGGTTCACTTGCGACGACAGAGGAGCTGGTTGCATCAATATTTAAGGAATAACTTTGGAGTTTTGCTTTTTTTGAAAAAAAAAGATTGATTAAAAATTGCGATTAATTAATTAATTAATTAATATCCATAGGAAAAATTATTAAAATTTATTTGTGTATTTTCTCTTTATTTATACCTCTGCGTCTCATAGGTAAGACTATGATGTAATCAGCCATAAGACACATATAAGAAATTAAATTTACATTTACGAGATTAATAAGATTCTCATGTAAAATTTTAATATTTCACGAACTAATAAGAACCAGACGCAGGATGGTAGTGCATTAGTTGCAGAAAAAATTAATTTGGTTGCACCCAGAGCACGAATTTTTTTTGGTCCCATAAGTCTAAAAAAATCTTAATTCAAGATTTTAATAAACTCTTCTATCCCTCCTGAAGAAGCGTAAACGAGAAAAATATCGGGACGGAGTCGCTGAATTGGGAGATTAAATTTATTCTACTAATTGTTTACTGTGGCTCTTTCGTGTATATAGTAGCTCTTCAATTCCGTGCGACAATTTAAAGGATTTGATGTAATAATATTTCCATCTGAAGTAAAATTAAATTAACTAGTAATGTTCTCAAATTCCTGAAAAAGGAGATTAGATTATTGGTGCCGTAAATCTTTTTCGATTAATGGTCGCACATTTTGCCGGTATACACACGATACACTCGCTTTGTTTGTAATAGAAATAATCGACACACATTTTCTCGTTATTTCTCGCACTAGTTGAATGAACTGGAATAAAGAGCTGTTTGAAAATTTAGGAATAATAAGTAAAAACTATATTTTAAATATATAGATTAACCAATCTTGTTTTACACTATGATATTTCTATAACATAATTATTGTGAACAAAAGCAAAAAATGATTTAAATTACAATTATAAATTAATCAATTTGTTAATGAAACCAATTTATATTATTTAAATAATTATTGCTCAATTACTAATTACGATTTGTATAATATCTGTTAATCTTTTGGTGAGAAATGTAGAACTTTGTTACATCTCGATTTTGCGAGTAGATAGATGGGATCATTAATTAAATGGTGTACATGTGTTATATACATCATATTACTGTCATAAATTAATATCCGGTTATTATACAATATTGCTGTACAAAATTTTAATTGGCAATTAATCTTTCGGGAGAAGAAGAAGAACTAGATTAATTTTTGTCCAGATAAGCCCTTTCTTTAGATCTTGATAGAACACAAGTAACTTCCGTTGAGACAATTATTTGATGACAATTTTAAACTAGATTAAAAATTAAGATTAAAATGTTTTGTATGTATCAAATATAATAAACAAACGTAAAAAGAAATCGTTCGCGCATCTCTATTTAAAAGTCAATACCAATCGCAATTGTCTTCTTTCTTTATTTAAAATCTAAAAATAGCGATGGAAAACAAAAATATTCTTACAAGACTATTATATCACACACAGATTTAGAATATCTTGCATCTTATAGAGATATTATCCGACGCAATATTATTTCAATCTGTTCTGAGAATATTGTCTGAGATTGCATTGAGGAGATATATTCTGCGAATATAATCAGACCTATTAGCGTCGTAGAGGAAAGGAAGAAAAGTGTACTTGCACTTCTGCGTTCATAAGAGAAGGGAGAGAGAAAAAAAGAGAGAAAAATAAAAATTGTGAAAATTATGAAATAACTCCATCACACAACATATATATCTTTCAAGATATCTATATTTTCCTTCTTATGCATCATGTAAACATGGAGCGGATCATTCCAATACCAATATCGAATGAGAAACGATTATATCTTTTTCTGGTTCTATCATTAAGAAGCACATTAGGGATATTTTTATTAATTATAAAACATGAGAAGTAGTTAAAGGTGGAAAATACATAGAAAGTAAAACGTTCTTTATGATCGATGAAAAATTATATCTTACAAACGTTCCTTGCGAAAATAAAAAATATTTAAGTTTCAATATGACCATTCAGTAAACACAAAGTAACAGTAACATAACATTAATGTTATAATGTTCCACTCAACAATGTAACTATTACGTACAAAGCATGCTATATTGCAGTTAAAATGGCCCACCCTGTATATATATATATATATAATATAGTCAATATGAAAGAGATTAAGAAAACCCGTGAAAGAAATTCTTTTCCACGGGAGATTCAGGAAACATTGTTTTTAAAAGAAAGTATAAAAAAAGATAATAACAGGAAATCACGTTCTCTCATGTGTCCAATATTCAATGAATAATGCAATCTTATTTAATAACTTGTATTATTTCTAAACGAAAATGAGAGAGGTATGTAATAATATATAATAATATATATATATACTAAAATATCGAGAAAATTGAATTTAAAAATAAGAAATAACAAAACTAAAATCCAGCCATAAGTTTGAATAAAAGTAAATAAATAAAGTAAATGTTATTTTCATTTTTAAGTTAGTTTTTTTATTTTGTAAACAAGTTTGAATTTTGTAAAATATTTATTCGGAAAGGGCAAATATTTTCTAGAATCTTAGAGAAAGTGAATAACATATTTTCTTTTATGCTTTCGTATCTTATAATTAGTGAGACGAATACTTTTGGGACCGAACCGAATTGAGCTTGCGATTAAAAGGCAACGAGTGTTTTGTGTCGCGAACGCACTCGGATGACAAATTACGAAAAACCTGTTGGTTGTCCTCGTGGTCGAAATGTTGTGTGCCAAGAAGATGCGTCTGGTAGTTACACTCTCGAGCGCTCAAGTCTTGAGTTGTTTGCTAATTATAAACGTCTTGCCGCCAAATTGCTCATATCTTCTGTCAATGAAGAACGAGTTTTACGAGGCGTGACTCGAAGGAGTTCGCGGCTGTCAATCACTTTTAGATGCGATATCATTGTGGGAAAATGCACATTGTATAATCTTACACCTGAATTTTCATACTTAGCCGAGAGAGAGAGAGAGAGAGAGAGAGAGAGAGAGAGAGAGGGGGGGGGGGGGAGAGAGAGAAGATATAATTAGCAAAACGTAATCAAATCAATAGTTACAATAATGATGAAATGAGTAAATAATAATAGTAGTTATAATCGTAATAGCAATTATAAAACCAGAGCTGAAATGAAAAAGTTATCGATTGTAATTGAGTTATCGATCATCCATTGGAAAATGATGATAGTTTTCAATCAAAAATTTGTATTAGTTAATTAATGAAATAAAAAACTTTTAGTTAACCACATCAGATAAAAATTAAATTTGTGTTTTTGCGATACTATTTATTTACCTTGATATTTTGGTGATTTATTTGTCAATTCTTGATTATAAATACATAGATACATAGATGTGTGTGCGTGCGCGCGGGCATGTGTGTGCGTATGTGTGTGGGTGCGTGCGTGCGTGCGTGTGCGTGTGCGTAATAGCATATAATTGATTCCTGTGGCAATGCCAGGCGAAGGTTGACTTCGAAAAATTGCTTCTCTAAGTTTATTTTACGGTCGACTGTTCGAGAGATGAGACTCTTCTTATGAACGATAATACTCTCTACTTATTAACTCTTTCGCGACATCATCATTTCATGATAAACGATTCGATGTCATACAAATGTCACAGATTGTCTTTTCTGCGAATTGCAAAAGATTTTAAACCGTATACAGAATCAGAAAATACTAAATTCTTCTCAAAATTTTATATCAAAAAATTAACAGAATTTTGAGAAGAATTTAGTTTTCTCTGATTCTCTCTCTATGTGCGTGATATTAATAAGATAATAATATAATAATCCTATATTAATACTTGTTTGATATTAATAACCGTAATATGTGATACTATGATTATATTAATAATTGATAAAAAAAAAATTATTAGTTAAGGGGAAATACCGCGTTATGATCAGACGGACTTGGAATATGGACGGGGGGATGCGGTCGATACGCGAGAAACGAAATCGGACGAAGCTCCAGCTCGAGGATAATACCGGATACACCCGATAACGATCATCGCGTTGAAATTATCAACCGCTTTCTCACGACTGTTGCAGCGTAATTGTTGCAGGCGCGTTTAACGCGCGATAAAGTCAAGCGTCCACTTGCGAGGGCCGCTTAATTCGCGATTAATCATCGATGGAACGATAACAATGTTATCACGCTGTCATACCTAACATACCCTCTCTCATATCCTCTTATTTATTTTGGAATTCATCAATTACAACTCACAATTAACGAGCACAAATTTAACGAGGGAGAGAAGCGCGTCGTTACATTTTAATAGTAAATCCGTATATATGTATAATAATAATATATAAAAATAATATTTTCGTGTCAAAATAATTTCGCACATCGTGTCTTTCACTTCATATTCTAATTATATATATATATATATATATATATATATATATATATATATACGTATAATTCTAATCATAGTGTAATATATAAAATATGCGTATATACTATATTTTACTTTTTTTGAAATTCGATGAAAATCGATAAAAAGATAAACTGGTAAAGATATCGTTTTGCTACGTTGCTAGACTTGTGTGTGTGTGCTCGTTCATAATTAGTTTTGTGAGTTTACACGTATCCTACTTGATTATAACGTGAAGACAGACTCGTTTTATCCATGTGACCTCTTGCATACCAGGAATAGATCTGTGATGTCATTCAAAGTAAAGCTCTCTTTCTACGTCAACGCAGGTGCTTTCCCGATAATATTAATGGATTTTCCTACTTATGTCTCGCGACTTTTGCCATGAAACTTCCTACTCAACAAATGTATTAATGCGAATATTGCTCAATAGTCAGATTCGATTTTCCCTGAGAAATAAAACGTTAAGGACTCATGATTTAGCACTAGAATTTATCGCAGGAGCATATAGGATTCTAAATGAAAAATTATGTGAGACTTTTTTCACTTTAATAAATAAAATTAAAAAGTGAGATTGGGGGAA